CCTTCTCCTTAATTCCTCCCCGGCTTGAGAATGAAAAACCGAAAAACGTGTATAGGAGACCACTGTCGCAAAAACTCTTTCCTCGAGTCGATATTTCAGTAAATACACAAAAGTGTACAGCGATGAAAGACAGTGCATAGATGACAAGATGAAGCGTCCATAACATTATTTTGCAGAATTTTTTTTTGATTTATTTTGCAGGATTTATTTTGATTAATTAATTGAATTAATTTGCTCTGTTTTAGGGGGTCGTGCCAGGATCTCGATTTGGGGGGGGGGGTCGTACTTCTGCGAGTTCTCGACCCATTGTATCCAACTGAAGGCGCTGAAAAGTCTCGAAAATGTCCGAATAAAGGGGGCAAGATACAAGGATACGCGATCCGATACGAAACCGTGCCATTCTCGGTAGCATGTTTTATCCAATGATAAAATCCGGGTTTTGATACGCAACGTTTAATGGATTCTTCGCAGTAACCTACGAAGTTCGGCTGAGTGGTTCAATCACGACTGGGGTCGAAAAAACTTTGCAGAGGTGAAAGCGGACGAGAAGTTTGTGCTGCCTGTTACGTGTTCTACAGTAAGCGACTCCCCGAGCACAGGCACAATCATTACGATGAGACTCTTGGCAAGCTGCCAAAATATCCCGAAACCTTAAAGGCAAGAATCAGATTAAATTGATGGGGTGATTCCACTCAAATGTGAAAGTGGGTGGGAGGTGGACCGCCAGTGGAGAAAAAAAGGAAAGAAAATCCTGAAATACACAGGAAATACGAGCATTTTGCTCTATGCTGTGGAGAAGTTCAAAAGACAGGCAGGGAGATGAGAGATAATGTGAGCGCGGAGAGTGGTAGAGAAGTCCGAGAGAGAGAGCATAGCAGATCAACGTGGCGACGCAGACAAGATATCGAACGGTGGGCGGACCATGTTATGTTTGGTGGAGTCTGTTAGAAGTCCATGGCGCCTAGGGTCCTAGTGACGCGTTTCGATGTAGAAAGGTGGCGCTACCTTTGCACTTGCGTACCCAGCACTTCTAGCCATGGTAAGGGCTTCTTAGGTGGGTCTGAACTTTGCCTTTAACACATTCGCCCGCCAAAGGCTGTCATGCATGAACCGACCCTTCTCCGCGATGCACCTCAGCTGACCGCAAGAGCGATCCTGCAAAAAATGAAATGGCTGGAGTACTGAACAATACCACAAATATCTTGACCGCCATACTTCTTACCTATTCAGTGCCACTTTTCAACTGTCTGGATAGCGCCCTTTATTTCAACGAACAGATTGGTCAAATACATTCAATGGCAAGGAGAAGTAGCTCGTAGTGGTGTTCACTACCAGCAAAAACGTTGTGTTTGAGTCGAGACGTGCATATTTGAACTTCAAGGTACTGAACAGCGGAACTTTCCTTACGACCCAATACATGTCAATTTTTCGATAATCAGTAATTGACCTATAGAAATGGAAAGCTTTTCTATAGGTACGGAGAATCGAAAAAAGATGGACTTGCTGGAGTAGGCGAGAAGCCGAAATTTGAATTGTGGACCATACACTGGCGCTTGCCTTTATACCATGTCTAAAAAGAGCTTCTGTCAACACAGAGTCTTCGAGTTCGATTTTTTTCAAGATCTCAGAAACAGCCTTATATCTACCTAGGAAATGTCACTAGCTCCGCGGCTGGCCACGGCCTTAGCTGCTTTGACGGGCAAATGCTCAGGGAGCAGAATCTCCAAAGCACACCCTTGCATTCCAGTTCCCTGTAAGGTCATGGACAGGCTTGAACTGTCTACTAACAGCTGAGGACATAAAGTCAATAGCCGATCTCCCGCTATAAAGTCGTGTGGAATAACAGACTGGCCTGTGGAACCGAGTATAAGGTGGAGAAGCATTTACAGTCAGTCTCGCCAGCTATCGCTGCAGCTCTATGTTAAGCTGTTTCGTTCGACTACGAGTTAGATACTGCCCAACTTAGAACGAGAGGTTGGTGCTCGACGAAAAGGACGCCGGCTACTTGGCGGTCAACATCGGCAATGCTTCAACAGAAGAGTGCATCCATGCATTCATTTTACATGAGCTACCGACTTCGCTAACCATAAGCATAGACGCAATCCCAGCGGCACTATGCTTCATCGCAATATACAGCCGACAGCGGCACTATGCTTCATCGCAATATACAGCCGACAGCGGCACTATGCTTCATCGCAATATACAGCCGACATCTCGAAGTCTGACTGGGCGTGAACATCGTAAAATTAGTAACTAGCGTGACTTCCTTTTTTAGAAGTGAGATTTAATAGACCATTTGGCATACTATCCGTGAGCTTCAGAAGTATAGCGGGATTCAGGTGGTAGGAAAACGTCTCGATGGCTGTCTGAGGTCTCCCACGTTACTGTACTGCTTTCCATACGCGTATATCTGTCGGACAATGATACCCCAGGTGTTTTTTATTGGATTTGGATCTAGGCTGCTAGCAGGCCATTCCAGTACACTGATTTTGTTGACGTAAACCCGGTGTTGAGTGGACCGGCTGCGATGGATGGTGGCGTAATCGTGCATAAAGATGAAGTTTTGCCGACGACTTCCACACAGAAACGAGAGAAGATCATTAAGAAAAGCATCCTGATTCTCACGGTCCATTTGACACGAGACGAAAGACAGAGGGCGCACAGCATCGCTGTAGAATGTCAGACCATCTATGCGTCACCACCGAAGTTTCTCTGCTAAATACCAGCGGATCTTTGCTAAAATCTCCCTAGAATCT